TGTCTCCGATTTCATGGCTGCAGTGTCGCTTTCAGTCCCCATTAGAGTCCGATTTCAAATGGGAGGTTGCATCAAACTGGTTTGGGCTGTGGCTTGAAATTGTGGACCCAAAATGCCCTGAAGTGCTTGCTTGTCATAATTACTCACGGAGTCCTTGCATCTGCCTGGGAATTGAGTGGATGTGGCGTAGCTGCGGTGTCGAGTCCACCACCACGCTATGACTGGGTACGTCTTGTTCATAACCTTCGGTTCATGCAGAAGGTCTGCTCTCCGGCACACTTTTGTATCATCTGCAAGCTTGTTCTAACCTTTAACGTAATATTTACTTGTTGCTGTGTAGGTACGTGGCCAGCCATGCGGTTCATCTGACCCTCCAAAACCTGACAGCCCGTTTTAACATAGCGATTTGGCGGCATGAGTAGTCTACGCTCAGCTTGACTGCCCGCGCCGCGCTTAGTGTTGCAGTTGTACATAACAACGCTCCGAAGCTTGGCGTCGATGGACGCCCGTGATATCACAGGTGACTGTCTCTCGCGCCCGGGCGCAAAAGTGACTGAGGCGTCACGGGTGTCGACGATGCCGGTAGAAGTGCGACGTGGCGCGGGCATTCGTCAACCGCCGCGGCTGGAGATGCTCCCACAAGACCATGGTACGTTAAACAGTGGTTACTACGTATTTAGGGTGTAACGATACGTTTGTCTCGGTTCGGTTCAGGTTTTCTAGGTTTTTGCTCTTCGCGGTTCGGTTATTCGGTCTGCAGGTTATTTTCAGTAGTAAAAATTTAAAATTGGCGGAGAAATGGGGAAATTTTCCCTCCATTTATGATATAATAATTAATAATATAACCGTATCATAATTATTATACATTTATGTGTTATTAACATTGGCCCAAAAGACAATATAAAGTAATACAGTTCAAGGGATAATGTAGTCATGATACTAAATTCATTAAAGGATCTTACTTGACAAAATAGACTACTAACTTAGTAAACACAGTCATAGACTAGTAGGCATTGTCAGCCCGCACACGGACTGAGAAAGTGCGAAGCGGACAGGGCTTGGCGTTAAGTGCTGACTGCTCAGCTATTTGCACTGCGCGCATGTGCACCCCCTAACTGAGAGTGTGTTGAATGTATTTCCCGCGAAGCCGAAATGGGAAAAAACGCGAAACTCCGAACCGAAAGGGATGCTACAGTTTGAATCGCGGGTTAATCGTTACGCCCCCTAGTGGTTACAGCTGTAGACCGACCTCTACGAGCAAGAATCGTTAACGGGGAATGGGGGCAATCTTGCGTCTGGCAGATCAGCTACAGTGTCAATACATATAGCCTACATGTCACATACCATTGTCTAGTGTCACATACTATGATACATGATCACATCACATTGGCCCATAAGATGTCAACATACATATGACTCTCATGCACATATCTTACATGTCACATACATTAAGCTCATGTCAATACATATGACCTACGTGTCACATACATATGTAGCCTACGTGTCACATACATATGACCTACATGTCACATACATATGACCTACATGTCACATACATATGACCTACGATGTCACATACATAAAAAGCACCATGAGCACGTGTACAAAATACATATGACTACACGTGTCACATACTTATGACCTTACATGTACACATACATATGACTCATATACTGATCACATAGCATATACCATATCACTACATAAGCCATGTCACATACATTATGACCCTAACATGTCCATACATATCGGGTATAAGAAAAGGTTTCATAATGGATATGTCTCTATATGTCACATGTAGGTTCAATTCTGTCTGACTTATAACGTACATTTTTGTAAGGTAACCGTAGGCCACATATTAAAAAAATCGTTGATTTGCGACCTCACTCGAGCCCAGGCTGGAAATTTTGCGGTAGGTGAAGGTAGGCTATTTTATCTTTCTTTTGAGGGGGTCTTTGTACAAATTCAGCATGTGAATCTACTGCTCGGGATGAGTTGTGTGGGAGTATACCTTTTATATGTAGAATGCTTTGTTTTGGCTTGGTGTTAGCATATGATTTATTGGCCCTACAGATTTATTATAATGTACTGCGATAACAATTTGTAAAAAAAGTAAAGGGAAGATCCAAATGAATTTTTTTTGAGTCGGCCCCTTCCTTTGGCGGTGTCGGTCGGAGTGAGGGCAAAACAATACAATGTTTTTATTATGGCCTAAGTATAGCTGGCAGTTCAAATGCTGGTACATATTTGCGCTTTCATAACGCGTCCGCAATTCGCGATGCGGCCGAGCACTCCTGCAGGTGGCTGACCACGCAGATGTCGACAACGGCTTCAAACGGCAGCAGCTGCCCGCGGTGATTGGCTTCGTCGTCGAAGGCAGGTGATCATCCACATCGCCCGCCGGCGAAGCAGGTGAGAGAACCAAGTCTCTGCTGTGCCAAGCCGGTCACAGCAGACAGACAGGCGGACGTGCATGCGACCGCCACAGCAGCAGTCGCGCGAGGACGCAGCCGGCTGATTGTTGTTGTTTGTGTATCTGTCGGGCGAATAATGTTGAAATTGTTGTGTATATATCACATATGGCGGCTGCCAGGGTTCTAGTTCTCCCTGGGGGTACTGCCGGATACGCACGTGGGTACGTCGGTATACCGTACGTAAAAGCCTGGTACTATCTAATATGCTGGACCGTACCTCGGCGCTCACTCACTAACGAGGCTTTCTAGGGAGCCGCCTACTCCTAACCGCTACCTACCCTACACCACTAACCCATAAACCCTAACGATATCAGATGTACCAGAGTAGTTCCGGTAGAACCGGACCGGGTACCAGGGTACGTTCGGCAGTACCAGGGAAATAGATCCTATTAGCTAAGGTGATTTGTTATGTATCTATCACATACTAAGGTGAATTGTTATGTATCTGTTGCATAGACGGGTGAGTTGTTACATATGCTGTCACGAGACGGCGCCGAGTTGTTACATATCTGTCATGTACACGGGCGAAGTTTGTATCATATCCTGTACGGTAACGGGCGATTTTGTTACATATCTGTCAACGTAGACTGGGGTGGGGGGGAGAGGTTGTATACTATCTGTCACGTAGACGGGCGAGCTTGTTACATAATCTTGTCACGTGACGGTGTGGACTCACGTGTGTTACATATCATGTCACGTAGACGGGCGAGTTGTTACATATTCTGTCACGTAGACGGGTGTAGTTGCTTACATTATCTGTCAGTAGAGCGGGCGAGTTTGTTACATTATCTGTCACGTAGACGGTGCGAGTTGTTAGCAATATCTGTCAGCGCTAGACGGGCAGTTGTAATACAGTAGTAGGCGATTGTTACATATCTGTCACCTGTAGAGGTGCACGGGTGAGTTGTTTCGTATCTGTCACGTAGATGGGCGAGTTGTTTCGTATCTGTCACGTAGACGGGTGAGTTGTTTCGTATCTGTCACGTAGATGGGCGAGTTGTTTCGTATCTGTCACGTAGACGGGTGAGTTGTTTCGTATCTGTCACGTAGACGGGTGAGTTGTTACATATCTGTCACGTAGACGGGTGAGTTGTTACATATCTGTCACGTAGACGGGCGAGTTGTTACATATCTGTCACGTAGACGGGCGAGTTGTTACATATCTGTCACGTAGACGGGTAAGTTGTTTTGTATCTGTATGTATTATTTGTGTCTGTATTATGGGGGTCTGATTGGCATGTCAAAACATACTTTCTCAAAAAGAATGCTATCACATATCGACATCAACTTGCTATCAACATATTGCTTTTATGTTTGCAGACGAATCGATTAAACCCGTGCTTGTGCCCATCCCTGTGCCCGTGTTTGTGCCCGTGCCCGTGTGCATGTACACGCAGCCGGCGCCCATTCCTTTTGCATTCCCGGTGCCCGTGCCTATCCCCTGCTTTATCCCCACGACGAAGAATTCGGCGGCGGCCATCTTTGAACACATCAAGGAGATACAGGTAAGTGTGTACTCTCAAGGTCGCGAAGCTTCGTAAGGTGGAGGGTGTGGTGTTGGGTTTTCCACATTAAGAGTAATTTCTCGTCTCTGTCGATTTTCAGTTTCGAATTGTGTAACGTTACTTTAAATTTGAGGGAATTGTCGGTATGAAATTTGCGTAGCTTGAATAGGCATTTTGCATAATTCACATTCGCGTATTGTCTCGTGATTTCCCAGTGTGATGCTCTGCTCAGTATTGCAAGGCGAGTATGACCAGCCATAGTGTTAATGGTCACCTCAGCAGATACTTCAATATGCTAAACACTTGGCGTGTTCTTGATAGACTGTTATACAGTGAAACTACCTCTATGGAAAGGATACCTGTCTATGAATGGCACTTGTCATTTCCCTTGTGTCCCCCTTATATAGTTGTATAGTATAGTATATAGTTATATAGTATCCAGTTGTGAATGAGGTTGAGGCCTATAGCTGATTAGTTGCCATTGCAATCATGTCATTTTCATCCAATCTTTTTTACAGGAGAAGATTCCATCTGATCCATTTGAAGCTGACTTGATAATGATGGCAGCGATGATTGCAGAAGAGAACACTGAGGAGCAGAAGCCTCCTACACCTACTTGTATATCACCTGCAGCAGGTAAGAGCTCCCGTCCTTGTATTTCTCACTTGTGTTTCTTTCTTAGTATTCATTCCCTGTGTTTCTTCTTTGGTGGACGTACGTCTTCCTTGTTTCTTTCTTGGTGGGTAGACTTCTCCTTGTGCGTACGTGTGTGCATGTGTGCGTGCGTGTGTATCATGCATGCATGCATACATGTATGTACATGTACTATATATATGTTATATGATGCTGTAGGCTAGACATTCTAGGTTAGGTTTTTTCACTTATGCTATACTAGCACATTGCTCTCGAACGGCGCTCACGTCTAATGCACGCTATGCCAACCCTCGTGAATCACTGTCCTTCACAGAAGATGAAGATGAGGATGTCGCATCTCCGCTATGCGATCCTCCCTCGGAAGCTCAGAGCAACGAAGATACGGCGCCAGTGGAGGCAGAGCCGGCGCCCCCTGTGAGGGAGCCGTCGCCGGTCACCACGCCTCTCGGCGAGATTTCGCAGGATAACGACGTTGAAAATCACATTCCCACGATGACGATGAGCTTAAGTATGCAGCAGAAGCGGTCACTGTGCTATCACACCTCGTGTAACAAGTGTTAAGGGATTTTCGTTTAACGCACAAGAAAGAAGATTCATTCAACAATCGTCTAGTTCTGTCGTATCGGTGTTAGCGGTCAACTCTATTGTATCTTGGACATCTAACTATGAAGGTCAATTTTAGTGATTCTCTCATGTAGCAGTTGTACAGTAAAAACATCTATGGACTCAGACACCTGCATATACAGGCCACTTTGGGTATTTCGCTTGACTTGACCCATATATACAGGCTTGACGTTAATGTTTCCGATACTGTCCAGTGCTCATTAGACCTCGTGACATTTGCAGGGCGGCCCGAACCTGTCACAGCATCCCCGAGCAGAGGCACGAAGCGCAGTCGCCGTGGCGGCAACACACGCAGTCGCAAGAAGAAGCAGGAGCCTGCAGCACAGCCTCCACCACTGCAGTCGCTTTCAGCTTCCACTGCAGAGCCAGGACCCGACGCGTCTTGCTCACTCAAGGTACGCGGCTGGCGTACTAGTCACAGTCGGGGTGCAGTGAGATATATATATATACATATCAAGAGCTAATAATACCTAGAGTGTACAACGGAAAAACGGGAAAATAGTGCTATTTCACGACATGATTATTCTACTTTGCCTGCGAGTCTAGAATAATTTTATGGTATTGCATTAAGCAGAATTCTTTTGCTCTCTAAAACAAGACCACGCTTGTCAATATGATTCTCCTAGGCTGAGATATTGGCGCCTAAACCTCCCCTCCCACAGGCATCACCAGCGCCTCGAATCCACATCAGTCAGCAAACCTACACGCCTCTAAGGTTGCTTCGTGAAAGTTCGGTTTTTCGCCATAACTTTATGAATGAACGGTATTTCGTTTCATCAGGTGACATTCGGGGGCTCGCCTATGCCCTTATTCCCATTATCTTTCTCTAGCACCGGCTATGCCCGTCACTGATGGGCCGGCAATGTTTCTTAATTAGTTTTTTACAACGCAGTTCAGTTACTATATGGTGTATAACAGTACCAAATTTGGGCATGTGACATCAATTATCAGCGCTCAAGCCGGTGACGGAACCGATAGCCGAAATGCTTAGAGGCGTGTAGGTTGCTGACTGATGTGGATTCGAGGCGCTGTGATGCCGTTGGGCGGGGGGAGGTTTAGGAGCCAATATCTCAGCCTAGGAGTATCGTATTGATAAGCGGTTGGTCTTGTTTTAGAGAGCAAAGAATTCTGCTTAATGGCAGTACAAAAATTATTCTAGACTCCGCAGCAAAGTAGAATAATCATGTCGTGAAATAGGCACTATTTTCCCGTTTTTCCGTTGTACACTAGGTATTATAAGCTCTTGATACATATATATATGTATATATATATATATATATATCATGTATATATTATCTAATACATATTTGTGGATGTTTCTCTGTTTGTCTGTTCTTGATGCAAATTAATATGGGCCACATCCAGATGTGTGTAAGGATGGCCATTAGATGTAACCTTGGATGCTGAATGTCATGGGCACATTGGATTTGACCTCCGAGGTCATCTGACGTCACAAAAAGAGAAAATCATGCAAAAATCATGCCCCTGCAGCAGCGTTAAATAAACACACCTTGCAGCAGCGGTAAATAAACCGGCCATGCAGCAGCACTAAAGAACGGGATTCACTTTGCACTGACTTGCATTACTGTACATGCACGTCACATTGCGTTACTATTCATGCATTATGTTACACGTGCCATGTCTTTGTCATAACAACATTCACCATGCACTGACTTCATACAGAGTGTGCACGACTTTTTTCGATAGGTTCGATGAAATTCGATAAAATTCTTCATCTTACTTGAATATATCAATTTCCACCCATGTAAAGGCCTGCATTACTTATTCTGAGGAAAAACAAGCAAGACTCCAAGCAAACGAATAAAATCACCAGCCGAAGGGCAGCGCCAGTTATTGCAGCGAACCTGCTAAATGTTGCATTCATTTACTCAACTGACATTGAGTATTCTTCTATTAAGGCAGTTGCAATTAGCTCCATGTCAGAGGTGTGCCTACATTGTGGAGCAAAGAGGTGGAAAGGTGAAAACACCAGCAATGTGTTGTTTCAATGGGAAAGTCCAGGGTCTGGGTAGCTGGCCTGCAGTTAGAAGAGACCTGGAAGAGACCTGCTTCTCTCATGGACAGCTCTATGTTGCATGTTCATGTGTTGGCAGCCTGAACAGCCTTTATGTAAATGCTCCAGGTGGAAAAACTAAAGAACATGTTTATCATGAAGCCCTTAGCTGAGAAATGTTATGGAAGAAGTCAACTTTGTTTGACCCGTGTATCTCTGTTACAAAAGATATAAATGTTCTGTTTGAAGGAAAATATTTATGCTGAATTTCCATGAAGATTTTGGGGGTCTTTTCCTTTCAACCAAGTAGTCACAAACTGAGTACTTCATTTCCCAGGAAACGCCGGGTGTCCTGCTAGTATATATTATAATATAATGAATGTATGTGTGTGTGCATCAGCATGTAGTCTAAGTGTCCTGTTCATAGTGGGCTAGTACCAGTATAGTTAAGTCTGGAATAATAGCAGTTGCAACAAGTCTCTGCCAGATTGGGGGGGGGCAGGAGGGCTCTATAAGCACCTCATGCCATCCTGTTATACATACGATTATATGCGAGTAACACAGCCATCTAAGCAGCGCCACAAAACATGCCGACCGTGTACGCGATAAGTGCTACTGCTGAGTGGCGGTGGGCATGGAGATGATGTCCCCTCCCCTCAGAGGTCCCAGCTAACAAAACATCCGACCGTGCTCGTCGTTGATACGCGTCCTCCACACGCGATGAGTGCTACTGCTGGATGCAGCGCTAACTCGGTGCTCGTCGTTGCAGTACACATACGGCGTGACGCATGAAGAACTGGGTGCAGATGAAAGAATGCTTCGCTGGAGGCTGCGTCGACGCACAGCAGCCGCTTCCAGCTCTTCAAGACAGAGCTGCTGCAGATGACAGCTGAGGAGCTCAGCTATTCGCTCTGCCTCTTCGTGAAGGAGGTGCGCAAGCCGAACGGAGAATGCTACGCGTCCGATAGCGTCTACTACCTCTGCCTCGGTAAGAGCGCGTTGTGTTTACCGTTAGCATGTAGTCTACTATCTCTGCTACGGAATGTGTTTGTGCTTTCAGCACGTACTCTGCTATCTTTGTCTCTGTGTATGTATTTGTGCTATCAGCATAACGCATAATAAGTGCAGTTTCGCCCTACGCAAATAATTACGATGATTGATGTTTCTCTTTCAGCTAGCCTAATTAACGATGACGACATCCCCCAGTCGGTGGCATGCTTGGTGCATTTTGACTCTTGGCTGTTTTGTTTTTTACTTTTCGGACTGGTGTTGTTGTTTTTACATCAGTTTGTGGGTTTTTGTGTTTGCGCAGGCATTCAGTCGTTCCTGTACGAGAACGGGCGAGTGGATAACATCTTCACTGACCTCTACTACATGAAGTTTGCCGACTGTCTGCATGAGCTCATCTCCAGCTATGAGCCAATCATCTCGGGCGAGGGTAGGTAGTGGTTGAGGTATCGTCGTATGGCGTCAACATCACACCCCCACAATCCAGTTGCGGAAAAGAGTTCGCTACTATGTATTTATGTTACACCGCCTCCCGGGTACACATCTCCACAACAATGAAGCGATGGTAGGTGAATGGTTATCAGACGTGTGAAGGGGAGTATGGAGCAGTGCTGTGGTACACAGATCTGATCGTCTTCACTAACACGTGTGTAGAATCGATGAGTGTATTGTTAAATCCAATATTGATCGATTATATTAGGCTCCAACTTTGATCTTGTTGTGTGTTATTTGCTATTGGGTGTCTTGTGCGATCCAGTGCAAAATTCGCAAAATGCTTCTCGCCAGACCAAGGATTAGGTGCACAAGTGAGCGTGTGCTCATGTTGCTTAGCTAGATCAGGAAATGAGATGATTTGTGCAAAATTCTATAAAATATGTATCGTATATATGTAGAGTTTAATGAACTATTCTCCAACGAGAGTGATTTCGTGATATATTTGGAAACAGCTAATCGATTGGGATTAAACTGATGAAAATTTCACCTATGCAATTTACGAGATGATTGCTATTGCTTATATATTGTACACATACCACGTAAACATCCGACACCCATGATTCAACGAACGTCGATATCGAAACTCTGCATCTCTCATCTCACTCGATCGTTCTTCGTTAGCATTCACGCATTTCTTGTGTTGCGCAGGATACGTGCTGGGTCGCATCGAGGAGGAGATTCTCTGGGAGAGTCGGCAGCTGGGCGCGCACTCGCCCAACGTGCTGCTCAACACGCTCATGTACTTCAACAGCAAGTACTTCCACCTGAAGGACGTCGCCGAACACATGCAGCTGTCCTTCTCGCAGATCCTCAAGCACTGGCGCCGCAAGCCAGACCCCGACTCCGGCAAGAAGCCGCCGCGCACGATCTTCCTGCGCTACTTCCCGCTGACGCTGGAGAAGCAGCGAGGTGAGACGCCTCCCCCGGCGCGCGCGCGCTGCCGTCGGCCGCTCTTGTCGATGGAGTTGACGCGCCACGGCCGACGAGGGCGATTCCCCTTTGCTATCGTCGAGTAGAATCGTAGCTGGATAAACCCTTGTTTAAATTTGATTTTTTGTTGTTGTAGCATGTTTTAATTGTTCGTAGCGTGCTCACAACTAATCGGTATCTGTGTGAGTGTGTGCGCGAACACAAACCAAAAACCCCCCACCAACGTATGCACCCACACGTAAAATGCAACGAAGTATTGACGCTAGAGTGGGGCTAGTAAGAGTGACATCTAACGATTGGGCGGTAAATGTGCGCGGCGTGGAAACGTGACGCCACAGTGACGTGACATTGTGGCTGCGTTTGTCACGACAGGGCCCAAGCGCAAGTCGCAGGACGATTCTATGTGGCTAGAGCAAGCAGAGAAGCTGGACAACCCTCTACGCTGTCCCGTCAAGCTGTACGAGTTCTACCTCTCCAAATGGTGGGTCACTGTGGCAGCGTCAGCGACGGCTGCTTGATTTTTCGAGAAACTGGTGACATTGATGACGAGCACGATGATCAGGGGCATGAATGATGTCGCTGGGCTTATGTCACGTGAGATGATGAGCACCAATGGTGTTGCAGGGTTTATGTCACCGTGAGATGATGAGCAACCAATGGTGTGTTGCAGGGTTTATGTCACATGAGATGATAAGCACCAATGGTGTTGCAGGGTTTATGTCACGTGAGATGATGAGCACCAATGGTGTTGCAGGGTTTATGTCACGTGAGATGATGAGCACCAATGGTGTTGCAGGGTTTATGTCACGTGAGATGATGAGCACCAATGGTGTTGCAGGGCTCATGTCACGTATGATGGTGGGCACCAATGATGTCACAGAGTTTATGTTACGTCACTTTTTTATAATAGGGAATTTTGACAGTGCTTCGTGGAGCCAAGGAGACAATTGTATTCTTGCACATCTTCCTGTATGTTTGATTGCAGCCCCGAAAGTATGAAGAACAAATCTGATGTGTATTACCTGATCCCGGAAAGGTCTTGTGTACCGGACAGCCCTGTATGGTATTCTACGTTACCTCTCACAAGTGACCAGGTATAGCAGTGGCGCCTAACTAACTCGCATAATCTTAGGATGTACGTGTGTTTGTCACGTACTGTTGGCTTTGTATTGTGATTCACGATAACCTGCATTTTTAGCTCACCTTGACATCATCAAGCTGAGCTATTGCCATGGGTTGTCGTCCGTCGTACGTCCGTCCGTCCGTCACATTTCGCTCGAGTCAACGATAACTCAGGAACCGTTTGGCCACATGTTTGAAATTGGATATAGTTGTTACTGCGTATGCTCCCATATTAAACGTCCTATTTGAGCACGCCAGTCGACGTACTTTCGAGCCACGGGAATTTTTTGGCAAAAATGGGAATTGCATTAGTCAGTTCAGGTTACAACGGATTTTGCTCATTTTGTATGTGAATGAATAAGGCTGCTAGGGTTTGATATTTAAAAGAAATTATGCAAATTAGGTAGGGTTTGGCAATTATATAGCATATTATATAGACACAAACAGTCTGTGGTGATCACACTCGTCTGGTTCGTTTTACAAGATTTCATTGACAATATCCTTAATGCAAAATTGGTATTTCCTCTCACCCTGCGATTAACTCTTATATTAGAGGTAAGATTTACAAAACATGTCGGAACGGCAGCATAACTATTTATTTCAAACGCCATCGGCTACCAAAGCGGTTAGGTGCCATCTACGGTCACAAATTGTGATTCATTTTGGTTTATAAATTATTATTGCGATATACAGATGGCAATCGTTTCTATAATGTACGTCGATGGTTGCTCAATTAAAAATGACTTCTTCTTACTCACTCATTTGTGTCCTTTTTTGTGGTGAGCTACAGTGTCATTGACACTTTCATTTTAAGGTTAGTGCACGTTTTCTCTGCTGTTATCGATTTCATCTCACAGCTTTACTCTCCAATCTTTTTCGTAATCTGTATGACTTGTGATTGCAGGTGGGGAAAATGTTGACGAGAATCAAGATGACTAGAGAAATCAACGAAGCTCTGTACAACTCTGCAATGCTCCCGACGTGAGTGGAACATGATTCACGCCGTAGTCATGGCAATGGGAGTCACAACTGACATTAGCACTATCATTTAGCAGTTTTGTGGGGTGGATCAAAGTTCAAAACGTGTGTTTCTTGCATGCTCTGTATCTGGAGGAGACACTTGGAGAAGTGGTAATGTTAATTAACACTCGAATTTAGAGTTATAACCCGTGATCATTGCAGGAGTCGTGGTGGGAATCGTGTGTATGTGCGTGCGTGCGTGCGTGCGTCTTGCTCACGTGTTTACGTAAATAAACGGTTTCTGTAAGTAACATTGCAGAACAAGCTTCTGCTGCATTGGTTGTGGGGATAGGTGAGAAAAGATTGCATGGGATGTAAATATTTTGGATATTGCTATTAAAGGACAATTGAAGTCAAATTTCATAACTTCTGTAACGCTTTTATACATAGAAATACATTCAATAACGTATTCCATTTTAAATCCGGCGCCCAATTAGTAATAAACACATGAATATTAATCTAGGTCATGTGACGTCACAGACCATTCTGAACGACACGACGCCACTCTAAAGCCGAGTGTTGTGATGGAGACAGAAAGCGATAATTTCAATGATTCTAGTGATTACTCAGATGATCATGATATTTATAGTGATTTACCAGTTGGATATAGGTTTGAGCCTGAATATACACAAGAAGAAATTGAGGAGAATCGTCTGAAAAAGCAACGCGAAGAGTCGGCACAAACTTCTCAAGAATCAGAACAGTCACAACATGGCGGAATGGAAGCTTCGGTACTAGATAGGACTGTAGACAAATACTGGTGTTCTTGTAGTGTTTGTGAATTAATGAGTACGGCACCTTAATGTATATGCTGCCATGAGAATGAAAAGACCAGGGTTATTGTAGACCAGTTCGACGCTAGACCAAGTGAGTCATGCGAGTACACTGTTCACCGTGCTTATCACGCTCGGTCAGAATCACATGTATCTGTACATGTACAAACATCTCTACGCAAGTCATGTACATATACCGTGAATGCATTATCCACACAGGTAATATGTATGTACATGAATATAAGTACACTTACAGGCTACATGTTTGTGTCTTGACATGATAATGAAGCATGAGAAATAACAAAAAACATCAAATATTTAACCACCACACGCACTATGTTTACATAATGGCGTCTCTCGAAATGGTCCGTGAAGTCACATAACCTCGATATAGTAACATAAACTATTCAGGTGTTTATTACTAATTGGGCGCCGGATTTGAAATGGAATACGTTATTGAATGTATTTCTATGTATAAAAACGTTACAGAAGTGATGAAATTTGAATTCAATTGTCCTTTAAGCTGACCAGGGGATAGCTATTTTTGTACAGATTTGTTGGTGTTGTGCCCCTGCATCACAAGTATTTTAAGCTGAAGCATAAAACCAGTATTATATAGGAACTCTTCTGTGTGCATGTGACTGTGTGTGCGTGCGTGCGTGTGCGTGTGTTTGTGCGTGCGTGTGTGTATGTAATCATGTACAGCCTCCTTTAATTACATGTTTTTTTAAATGCTGTTCTTAGTATCTAAAGAATTTATATGATCATTTACCATATTAATAATTTCTGCAAGTAAAATCTCTTCAAATGCGCTGGTAGCCCGTATCCTAGTTGTAATAGTAATGGTAGCTGCATGTGGCCTTGTATACAATTATAAAGGGTGCCCTACGTTAACCTAGGCAAATATTGTTTTCACATTTTCTATAAATCGGATAGTTTAACAAAAGAAGCAAACTTGAAGCCTGCTATTAATACATGTACAACTGTTAAATCTGTTTACTTGCGTTCATGCACCCACTCACGAATTCACACACTCACATTGGATCATGTAAAGGTTAGTGTCCTAAAAATAAATCAATGTTTTCTTAATCCTTTTTACAATTTAGTAGTGTGGTTATTCTCAACTAAGTGAAACTGCATCCCTATCCACATTAACTACAGTTCAACGTTGCTATTCGTTTCAACGTTACTAGGGTTAGTCAGACACCAAGGAACTTTAAATAAAATTACAAGGTGTGGAGTTTTAGAGTGCAAGGTGTTATGTCATGAACGAAATTACAGGTGGAGTCAAAGGGAGGTGTAAAATCTTTTGATGTAAGAGTTTTCAAAAGTTAGGAAATAAACAGAACGAAAGGAAGGCACAAAGGCCAGGTGTCGTATTTGTGGTTCACGAAAAAATGAAATAATGTAAATAGGAAACCACCTAAACTCGCCAAATGCCAAAACATTATTTTATTCAGTGTAAGTACATACATTTGCAATGCTTGCCCACTGATGTACATTATACATCCGCAAGGGCTTCCCTGAAAAATCACACCAAAAGCAAAACTAAAAATAATAGGAATCAATCAAAGCAAGAAAATTCTACAACCGAGTAAAAATTTCCTTGTTAAAAGAGTTGACTAGGAAGGGTTCTTCCCTGAATAGCCAATGCATTGCTTCACCTAGTGCTAAATTTGTAGTACAGTTACAAAATAAAAACTAAAAGTGCACTTTATTGATACGACAAACCAAATGCCAAGTATACTTTACACGTATAAAATCATTAGTTAAAATTGTTCGTACCTCTGTTTCAACCAGAAAAGTGACATTTTGATACACGTGCTAACCCAAGCACCAACCATTTCGCAAGCAATTCTGGTCTACAATATACCCGGGCAGAAAATGGCCGTGCACATTCCAATAACCATGATGACACCCTATAAATTCTCTCCAACTTCATAACAACCACTGTTAATTAGTCATTGCAACTATAATGTGTAAAAGGATACGTTTATTAATACTCTAAAATAACAGATTTCTGTATTTACACAAAGTACTGCCTTACGTACGTACATGTACGAAAAATCTCAAAATCTCGGTGTCAATTCATTTTGGAATCCAGCCGGGGCACTACAAGGTAGTGTGCAGCCTCTTTTTCCCCTATGCCACCGTGTTAGCTCCAGTTACTATAACCTTCACTGTATTACACAGTGCAGAGAATGCTGTCGAAACTCGAGCTAGCTTTCACCTGACCTGAAACCAGCCGAAGACGTCATTGTCAGAGACAACTGCCAAGTGACTGCAGGTACGGTTCTTGCATTTGGACATTTGCCTGGTACACATATATACCGGTAAACGTCCCAATGCGAATACCTTTACATACGGGCACTTGGAGTTATGGTGACACCTGTCAATCACCCGGTTGTGACTGGCTGCGTTAACTCGGCACGCTGCCTGGTCGTAATCTATTTTGCATACCCCTACATCGCTCTCGTTCTTCCGTCAGTCTCACATACAAGAAAGGCGCGAGGCAGAAATTCGGAACGAAAATCCGGCACCCGGGGAATACATGAAGCAGTGACCTCTGACCCCGATCGCAGACGCATGCAGCGGCGCCATTTTTTAAGTAGATATAGCAGCCAGCGCCATCTTGTGTGAGTGCTGTTCTCGTGTTGCTCCACGCAACTACCTGTCTACTGGTGATACACTAGGCATTCGTTTTCCACCACACTTATCTAGAAAAGAACGGCTTCACAGCGGTGAGCTGTTCACTTGTTTTTACAGCAGCTGTTGAATTGGCTGTGACGTCAAAACTCATTTTATGCCAACTGACCTATATATAATAATCAGCCAGAGAATTATAACAGCGCATTGTGATAATTACTATGTTTATTAGTGTGGCCCAAAGGCAGAATTATCAAAGAGCGGACAGTAAGGAGGTTAGATATTGTTTCAACGCACAATGTTATTTCGACTCGCTTAAAACTGATTCTTCCAAGATGGCGTAATTAAATAGGACAATGCTCTGCCTGGCTGTTACACGTAGGTCAGTGGTTACGCCGCTCTGCCTCTTCTCTTTCTTCCTATGCACATGCGGCACAAGTGTACCTACCACCACCTAGGGCTGGTCAGAGCTAACACCCCCTAAGTGTCTGCACGTGAGATTTTTGAATTGGGACATTTATCGCTAGATATATGTACCCATAAATGTTCCAATGCAAATATCCTACCACTAATTGGCTGCACAAACGCACGGTGATATATACCACCGTGGCTCAGGGAACGGACGAGCTTGCAATGCATGTGCATGCGTCCGCCTTCTTGTACCCATCTATCTAGAACGTTTTCATAAAAATAGAGCTCACAATTTTTTAATGCGTCGAGAGTGTAACAGCATAGCAGTTGCAGGAATGGGGGTGCAAATGAATGTACGCTTACTCCAGTCGGAAGCAAGTGGCAGCGCCATTCAAGAGCTGACCGATAACACATCAACTCTGCCCTGCTACCAAGGCGGCTACGTCTTGGGCAAAATGGCATCAGTGGAAAAGTTAACTCGATGATCTTTCTCTATATATTTGTATACATAACAATTGGATGGTGCATTGTGGGAGATATTTGATGTTATTGGGCTGCCATATTGGTTGGCACAAATACCAGCAGGTATTGCACCGATATTATCATGACTGTGTAAAAGTGATTTTTGGCTGGACCGCACTCTATCCAGTTGTTATATATACACACACACATATATAGAGAGAGATTAGTGGTTGGGCCATATGATGAATTGCACATGGTTCTACTGTTCTACAAGATGGAAACCGGATGGAATTGGCAGCAGAACAGCCATTTTGCCCTGCATAATACTACCTGGAGAGAACCAATCACGGGGCTCTGCGAGTTATGCGTGAGCGTACGAACATGTGGCCCCCATTCCGAGTGATAATTTCTAGGATAATGCGATAATGTACACGATAGCACAACTCTCTCTCTCTCTCTCTCTCTCTTTTACTCGCTCTCTCTCTCTCTCTCTCTCTCTCTTTCGCTCTACACCTTATCTATATATATATACAGGGAGTGACGTCTTAATAAGTGAGTTTCCTACAGGTGCACAACATAATTAAACAACAAACATCTCTGTGAGTGGAAGCACTGAGCTGAACCCGTTAAATTAAAAGTAAGGGCTTCCTTTTATCGTGGTGCTCTTAGCGGCCGGGAGACAAGGTTGGCCATTCAGCACTGAGCGATCACCTAGATGGGCGCCGTCGCACGGTTTTAATTCCCGCGGGCCGCCTGCGTGCATTGCGCGCGCTTTTAGAGGTCTCAATTCAAAATCTCTGAATCGAACCAATGCCAATTCAAAATTGCATGCAATTTCAAAGAGGCCGCCGCACCCACGGAAACTGCGGAAGCTTGTCAGGTTGAATGTTGCCACACGGTGGCGCCACTATAGGCGAAACGTGCCGACCTCCGCCGCTGTGCCGACTGCGATTGTGCACAACCTCAGACAGACTGCTGTCTCTCATGTGTCCCTGAGATTCATCCCCTGATCATGATCAATGAAATTCTACCCGCTTATTATCGACTCCCACGTCTCCACTCCAATCCACCACACAACGTTGAGTGGAGCCGGACTACTATATCTAACTAACATAGCCACACTGCTGCGAGGTAGTGACGGTTTAAAGACTATGATGATACCCATTCTGACTGATAATGTTGCGCGTCGAAACAAATACCCATTGCCAGCGATATTCGTTGCTCGATTTTTAGGCATTTCTCAATTTCTGAGGTAGACCTGATCATATTGCACGGAACATAGCAGGCTTTCGTTACTGATTAAACCCCTGATGCTGACACCCGTGAGGTTGTGGCGTTGCTTTGTAAGTCTATCATGCTTTAAGCCGAAGCGACCTCGGGCACCACTCTTCGACGTCATCACCCGATGTTGCGAGTGGCGTCCTCTGTAGGGTGAAAACGCAATTCAATATGCTTCTTACATTATACACGCGTTTTCCGTAACTATACGCGGTGAAGACATTTATTTACCACGGGACACTGTTGAGATTTTCGTACGTGAAACAAGACTACTGCAGTAAGTAGTCCTGCTGATCAGCTACACAACATCTGTGTCATGTCAGGGGCAGTACGCAACACAGCACCCCCAACATTCCATCGGCCATTTTGGTTATTTTATCAGCCATCCGGCAGGGTAACATTTTACAAACTTCCAGTGAGCCAAAACTGTAATTTGCCTAAGGTAATTTTGGTTCATCGTGTCCAGTAAATTGCCTTTAATTGCTGACATTTCAATTAGATTCACCAGAACTCGCCTACTTTCGCTACGGTACTGTCATGCATACCACTATTACACTGCAATAACCAGATTCATACATCGCATGACAGTACCTACACATAGTAGCTGATTGGAAGTTGAGTCAGTGCTCCTTTATCGCACATTTGGCCGTATCTGAACCTGATTGCTAGCAGCATGAGCAGCAAACGAAACCTCTTCGTCTGCTTGCGCTCGTTCGTGTGTCGGCCATCTTTGAGTAGTGGCCATATTTGCCGTGGCTGCCACCTGGCTATGATACAGATGCTGTCCTTCGCATTCACCCGTCATCAACATGAGGTACAATGGTTCTCTTATGCTAACCTTTACAAAATCTCAACTAGATAGAAGCTTTCAGCAATATATATACACTTAAACTACACAGGAGTAGATAAAAACACACAGGCCCCATGGGCCTCAAAATGTGAGAAACTGTATAGAGCAAAATATGGCATCCTCAAACAGTTCGGTCCCAAGCGACAGGCCACGCCTCCATAAAAATAAATTAATAATATTAAGAGCCTGCGCTTGGGAGCGAAACGCAGAGGCGGATATACTAAAAAATAATACACGGGATATAAACATGGTTTGCAAAAAGCTTCGAAGAAAACGAAACAAACACGCATTATCACTGCCGATATTAACTTTTCCTACATCTAGACACCGACCGAGAACACTGTTAAACGCAACAGCCGAGCCTCCGTATGGCAGGTAGCGGGACCGGCAGGTGACAGCGCGTGTCCCAGCCGAGCTGCGACCCACGCTCCCGGGCAGTGACGACTGATACAACACCTGAGATGAGCCCGGGAGGGCGTGGTCATAGCTGGGATGGGGGGCGACGCGCGTGCAGCCTGCTCTCGCTGCGATACACGAGGCACATAAGTTTAGAGAGAACTCCATCTGAGAAACGTAAATGCGCGACCAATCGATTGCAAAGAGATTAGGTTTGCATCCCATATGGCACAAGCGTGCGCACTCAAACACACACGCACACGAACACAAACATACATGTATGGACAGATACAATTATGCACGCATAGAAACAGACACGCACGCGTGAACAAACATACACATATAGTACCCAATTACAATATTGAAAGCTTGAGAAATTTGCTATCATACATCGTAAGTCAAAGCTACCCTATCGATTAACATTAAGTACATAATTCTAGTCAATGTTTTACATGTAGTATCATAAACTGATATGTGAACGTCACACAGTAAAGGAGGAAGTGGAGGGAGGAAGTTAGGGTTGGGACGGGAACGGGGGGTCAAACATTAGGGACAACTAACGTCTGCATCTGGCTGCAAAATGCCCATAAGATAACAAAAAAAAACGTTTGAGACCTCAAAATCCAGTTCTAATTTGGCAACAAGCTTGGATTTACGCGAGCACCTAGAATACACGTCTGCACACTGTAAGCCTGTACACAGAAACTCGTCGATAAAACACACCTACGTCCGTAGTGAAGAAAAATCTAAAGTAATCAACTGAGATATTAACCCGCTTTAAGTTTTTTTTAAATATTAACATAAGGCCATAATTAGTTATCTGTTTCCCGGTGCCAACACACAAGAGAGGTAGGATGGTATATGAGAAAACTTGCCGAATAAGAAACATATAAACGTTTCATAACAGATCAAAATCGGATAGGTAGATACGTAATGCAGACTGTTCGATTTATCGCTAATAAATACCCGCCATTCCCGTGTCAACAACGTTGAGATTCGTGAACGAGTGCGCATCGCGTGTAAAAAACCATGATGCGTGGCACTAGAAAACAGATACGATATCGAAATTTCTGTAAACGAGCCACCGGCGACTGGTTGACAGCTCGGCGAAATCCTGCCGCCGAAACCAAAGGGCATAACACGGTACAGTGCAAACAACATTACGCGCGCGCGAAAAATAAAACCCTGAGACCCACGTATCGACAAAATTATACGAAAATTGACCCGAGAACATCGTACCTGAGAAGCATTACAATTGTGGGTCGACAAAACATAGCGTATGCATTTAACAGTTTCCCTCGTCGCGGCGCGGCGCGGCCAGCAGACGCTTCCGCTCTTCCTGCCTCTCTCTCGGCCGCAGCAGACGTTTCCGCTCCTTCTTCCTCTCTCTCTCGGCCGCAGCAGACGGTCGTCCCTGTAGCAGTGTCTCTCCATCGCCGTGTCCCGTGCAAAGCAAAACTAAGAAGGCACTCACGGCAATCTCCCACTTCGTGGATTTTGAGCAAAAAGCACGCCCTGGTATAGAATCCCATTGATCTCCATGCTGACGACGAGTGAGCTATCTTTTGATTGGCCGTCACTACCTGGAAACGACGTCACGATTCGGTTACTTTTACACGCTCGCTCGCGTGAAGACTGGTCACACTCTAACGCCAGAGATGTTCCGCTAGAGAGTAACATTCCAATTTGCCTTCATTTTGAAAGCATGGTAATCTTTTCAGCCACTAGGTTTGTTTGTGTCAAAACCAGTGTTTAGCATTGCAGAGTCTATCAGTTTTTTTGTTTTGATAATAAAGCAATTTCACTTTATTACGAGGATTTGGGAACCTAAAGAAATGCAAATGCAGCCATGCCATTGCGGAGCAGCCAAAAGCCACATAGAACGCTACCATTACAACACACAACTCAGCTACTATATCAACAGTACTATATCAACTCAGCTACTATATCACAACAGCCACTATATCAACTAACATGACTCTGTAGTAGTGGTGGTGATGGTCTTTGTTGACAATACTCAGTTGAACATTTTAGTGCATTCGATACGATCTCAGAAAAGCCGTTTTCGAGGCGTGTTAACTGCGTGAGTATACGTCGATTGAATCGGGATACGCTAGCGATGACAATTATTGGCAGCGGCCGCCACGTGCGCCCGCGTGTATTTATAAATGACAGAAAAACGTGTCTGATAGCATCGTTCAGTAAAAATCCAACAGTCAATCATACCAAGATATGTTTTTGATAGGGGCTGCGCAACGATGACTCTAGGCCTAGACAAATATAATAAAAAAATCTATGTTCGGTCTTAGAGTGTGACAGAGAAAAGAGACTGAGAAAACAAACATACAACAGATAAGTAGAAGAAGAAGGCGAGGGCATGTGGGAGGAAGGAAGGTTGAACAAGAGAGAGGGGGAGAGAGAGAGGGAGAAGGAGAGAGAGAGAGAGAGAGAGAGAGAGAGAGAGAGAGAGAGAGAGAGAGAAAGAAGGAGCAAACGAAATAGAGAGATAGAAAATAAACGAGAAATGGGTGTGTCTGTATATCCGTGCATGTGTGTAACACTGTGCACCTATATATCTATCGCACGTCATGCCATTATCATACAGAGTGCACATTACACGTCAGTGACGTCACAG